AGAGAGAGAGAGAGAGAGAGAGAGAGAGAGAGAGAGAGAGAGAGAGAAGGGGGGCAGCGGGAATAACCTAGGGCAACCTGTTTTGCCAAGATGAAATAATCTTCAGTACCACGGAGTTAAATTTAGGCAGAAATGGCAAGGCCAAGAATTTCAAATGAGTCCAGAATATGGGTGTAAACAAAGGCGCCTCTCCAACCATGTTAAAAGCAGCTTCAGGAACACACACACACACACACACACACACACACACACACACCAATGGCAACTTGTTAACCACACTCTGAAGAGAGGGAAAGCATAGGACTCCAACCTTAGCATCCAGCTAACAGCTGCTGCAGATTGTCATTCCAGGTTCCTTGAGAGTAGTCTGTCCAATCCAGTCCAGATACAGAATTTGCTTGTAGTTTAGCTTGGAAATGCATGCTCTGGTGGTGTGTTCTGGTGCCTTAACTTCACATTTCCTGTCACTCTGTCATCTGGGCCAAACAGCCAGCTATTGAACCGAGTATCTGTGTGTATTTGGAAACACGTATGCTTATTTATCATGCAATTTCTTTAGAGATAGCTTTTAGCTCATAATAGGGCCAACATACATACCACATGTACTATGAGGAATATGTTAGCTACAGACCCACGACTCAGCCAAGAGCCAAATGTAAACACATGGATTTCTTGCTTCAACATGGAGTCACTAACACCTTAGCTGCCCTTATGTCACTTTAGGCCTAAGTAAACATTTAGAGATTAGAAGAAAAGTATCCAAACTAGGAACACTATAGTGATTGTATAATCTTTAAATATCTGTGGAGGATATTGCTGCTCATCTTCACAGCATTATCACACATTCATATGAAGGAATTCATGCTCCAACGTGATCTTTACATGTGAAGTTTGCCATGACTTCCAAGGATTTAACAGTCCTGTGGATTACTTCATCCACTGGGAAGTTAGTTTTTGCTAATTTAACACACGGAGGAAGAAGGATCCTCAGTTGAAGAAGTACCTCCACCAGGCTGGCCTGTGGCCCTGTCTGCGAGGCATTTTCCTAACTGTTGATGGATGGGGAGGGCCCAGACCCCTGTGAGTGGTCCCATTCTTAGGCCCGTGGGCCTGGGTTATAGAAGAGGTTGTTCAAGTCAGTAAGCAGCATCCCTCCAATGTCTTTGCTTCAGCTGCTGCCTCCCGATTCCTGCCTCAAGTTTATGCCCAGGCTTTCCTTCATGGTGAACCGAAATTGCTTTCTTCCCAAATTAGTTTTGGTCAAGATTTATTCTAGTAACTAAACGTAGATAAAGCACATATATAGTCCAGTTATCTAGGCAGCAGTAAACAGTATAATATAATGTGATTTTTTCTATCTTAACCCCAAGAAACACTTATAATATATCCCTTAATCTTGCTGTAAAGGGCAACAGGAATTATCACCTTGGTATGTCTTAAACATATACATGCATGCACCTGCTTGTGCACACATACAGCATGTATGCATGTGTCGAGTTTATTGAGCTCCTGCTATAATGTTAGTGGTTTGTCCTTAGCAGTCGAGATGTACATTCCTCACTATTATAAGCTGTTTTGGCTCTCATGCTTTAATGTAGGCAGAGCATTCCACTAGAGAATGGTACCGCCATCACCTTAATATCTCTAAGTACTTTTATATGTAAAAAAAAAAATAGGTCATTAAGTCATATATTTTTTTAAATGTTGAGCTTAGTTTTTAAAGTGTTTTAAACTGTGCTTTAGGGAGTGCTAGAAAAATTAATTAGGCATCACTTCTACACCTGAAAGCTCCTTGCACTTGAGATTAAAGCAGAGAGACAGGCAGAATATTCTGTTTGGGTGTGGGGGCTATTTTATACAGAAAACCCTTCCTCCTGTCTCTAGATAAAATGATAAGTATTTTAACAAGTAAATGCTGGGGGCCTTTTCTTCTAAAAGGAGTAAATTGTGTTTCCACCTGAAGAACTGTGGCAAGCTCATCTGCCTCTGCTTCCTAGGTGTTCAGAACTTTGATCAAGTTCCCAGAGAAAGCTCAGGTCCCATCCACCTTCCAGTCTACTGCTTCCTTTGCTCCTTGTTTTGAAGGTTACTGAGCAGTTGCTAGAGAGCCTGTCCTGTCCCTTCTGTTGACAGGTTGCCAGGATATATCCAGGCAACAGAAGCTGGGGTTCCTTTTACACGGCAGCCATACCTACTAACTCCACGTCCCACAGGAGAAATGTGAATCTTAGCGTTCCCAGCTCCTGTGCCAAACTCCGTGGATCCTCACAGGGGTCTGAAACGCCACAGTAAAGGCCAAGTGTCGAGAAGAGGACAAATCCATGGTACGTCTGTGAGAGTGTGTTCTCTCTTGTCTCATAGCTCCTCACTCTGAAGCCTTACTTTCAGTCAGCCATCACTTACTACCTTATTTCCTCCACATCCTCCTTACCCATGGGCGGTAATTATGTCTCTGTGAGAGAAAAGAAATTCAATTAGAAGTTAGTCTAATGATTGCAACAATATTTTCCAAAATAATATTTTACTTCCTTGGATATTGTCGACAACTGTTTCTTAAGTGCTGTAATGGCTAAAACGAGAATCGAATTTCACTGAAAGACACAACCTAAAGAATTTCCTCTAAGTGAAATATGTTTTAACCCTACTACTGTATTAAATTTATTAGGCAGTTTATCCACAGAAGAAACGGTGTTAAAGGCTCCAGTTACTCAGTTGAATGAAAGGTTTAAAAAAAAATCAAGTGAATGAAATACAAGCAAACTTGAGTTCTAAGTTTCAAATTCCTAAAAATCAAGTAATTTAACAGACGATAGCCACATAGAAATCCTCTCAACCAAGGCAGGGGCATTTTGTATCACCCCGGAAACTGTTCTTTTGACTTCCGGTCTGCCTTCTCTCCACTATGCTGGCTTCGGTCACCAGAGACTGATATGCCCTCCATGAACACAGCATGACTCTAGTCATGCAAAGTGTGCTCCTGTTTCTGACTCCTATGGATGTGGAGTCTGTTTTAAGGCTGTTCTGTGCTCCTCTGTGTGCCGCTGCTCATCTTTGATGGGTGAGTATAACTATGATTGTTCCACATTTGTTTAGCTAATCTAGTTCTTGGTATTTGGTTTCTTTCCAGTTTGGACCTGCTGTAACCAAGCAGCTGTAAACACTCCTGCACAAATCTCTTCTTTCCGCCAATTTCATTCTTTACGTCTTCCAGTTGCATTGAGATTCATCTGACAAAATATCCATGCATTTAGGGATTATGAGGGGTTCTCGTGAAGAATGTGGCAGGAACTTATTGTCAGAATTAGCTGAATTGAAGTGTCCATCACTTCACACGGTGGTCTTATTTGCTTTGTTCTTTTTCGGTGGAATGAATGCTTGTGATTTTCTAGCCTGGTAAATTACAGAAATATACTGCATCCTCATGTCTTCCATCACTAGGGTTTGTGTTTGGTCCACAATAATTAAACTCAACAACTTGGACCCTTTAACCATTATCTTCCCTTTAAACCTAGGTTCCAGCTGTTGGCAACCACCATTCTACTCAAATGGCTATTAAGTATAAGAAAATAAAAATATTACATGTCACTATTCATCAAGGAAATTCAAGTCAAAGCCACCATAGATGAATTAGAATGGCATTTATCAAAAATTATTTTTAAAAAATTAGGAACTGGGAAAGATGAGGTGAAAGGTGGATTCTTAGGGGCACATTGCTAGTGAGAATGTAAATTCATACCACTGTTGTGGAAAAGCATATAGATATTCCTGTGGGAATAAAAATAAAACCAACATAGGAGACAAAAATCTCATTTCTGCTATATGTATGTCCAAAGGAAATGAAATCAGTATGTTCTACACCCCATGTGTATTGCAGCATCATTCAAACAACAAGATAGGGCATCTAAAAGTCCATCAACAGATGAGCAGACAAAGAAGTCACAGGATGTATGTAGGGTGTTGCATAGAGAGTATATAATAGAGCATTGTTCAGTTTTTAAGAGAAAGAAATCCTCATGTGTGGTCTCTGGATGAACATGGAGGTCATTGAGCTAAGAGAGATAAGCCAGGGACAGGAAGTCAGATGCTGCCTGACTCCCTTCCGTGGACTCTCAAAATGTGCACAAGCCTTCTGGTGGTTATGTTTTTATTTATCTTTGGTTTACACTTAGGAGTGAAACTGGTAAGAGTAAGGAGGATTTTTAACTTTTCTTGAGTATAAAATGCTATCTTAGCAGAGTAATAATTTGAATTTGCCATTGACTAATGAAGTGGGGCACTTGCTCACAGGTCTCTCTTTAATTGCCTATTCACACTATGGCCCATTTAAAACTTTTTCTTTACCTTTAATGAGCTGTAAGCCACACACTAGACAGAGCCCTTTGGAGTAGCCACAGTGATAACCAGGACAGATGATGTTGCCAAAGATGTCAGTGTGACCATGTATCTTTGTGGTTGCCTCAGCATGTACTCACCTTCACACCACACAAGCAGTGATCAGTGTTCTGTCACCACAGAATAGCACTGCCTACTCTACCATGTCACTTGTCACATATATGCAGTAATTCAGCACATACTCTTTTGTAGCTGACATTTTCAGTATCAGGTGTTTTGAGAGGACTCATGTTGAGTCTTGGTAGCCTGTTTGTATTGTGAGTCAACCCTCTATGTAAGAAGATGCTATGATTTTTATATTTTACCTGCTGATGTGTAATTGTGTTTTCAATTTTCGTTATTATGAGTAACATGGACATCTATTTGTGTGTGAGTTTCTGTAGATATGTAATTTTATATATTATACAATGTTAGCACTCTGCTAAGTGCTAAGAAGTTCTTCAAAGTGGTTGTAATACTTCACAATCCTACCAGGAAGATTTCCTCACACCCTTATTAACACTTAGATTGACAATCATTTTAACTTCAGGCATTGCAGTATGTATGTTTACCATCTCTGTGGGTTTTGTATACATTTTTCTACATAAAAGGTTTTTTTTGTGTGTGCATGGGTGTTTTGCCTACATGTATGTCTGTGTACCATGTATCCAAAAAGGCCAAAAGAGGCTGTTGGATACTGGAACTGTAGTTACAAACAGTTGTTAGCCATCATATGGGTAATAGAAATTGAACATGGATCTTTTGCAAGGGTAGCCAGTGGTCTTAACCACTGAGCTATCTCTCCAGCCCCAGAAAAATGTTGGCATTTTTTCTGATGCCAAACAACCAGTAATATTGTATATTATTTCCCAAGTTCTATGACTAGATAACTTTTGTCATTCGCAATATAGGCAAAGATTTATTCTTTTTAAAATTTGGATTGTCTTGTTTTATATGCACACATACAGACATACACAACAAATTCTTTATAGTTATAAATCTTAAGTATATTTTTCTACTGTTACTTGTCTTTTAATTATCTTAATTTTGAAGAGCGATGGTTTCTAATGCAAAAGTATCATTAATTATACTTTTATTTTTCCAACCCTTTTGTTTTGTATATGAAATTTTTGCAAATATCAGTATCATAAACATATTTCCCTGTGTCTCCTTTCAGTAACCTTCTAGTTTTATCCCTTGTGATTAGCTCTGTAAGTTTTTTCTGAGTGCTAAAAATAGGAAATTGATACTGGATTTTACCTGTGACCACACCCAACCTTTCACTGTTGTGTGTTAGAGAAGTTTCCTTTCCTCTATTGAATCATCTTGCAGTTTTGAACAAATGAACCAAACAGTTGACTATATATCTCTCGACTCTATTATATGCATCTATTGTCTATCCTTATTAGTACTGTTAATTTTAATAAGCCAACTTTTATAGGTATATAGGTATGAAGCATGTATTGGGACCACTTGCCAGTGGTCATTCGTAAGACTTGAATGAAGCTGTGTTCTCTTCTCTCTTCCTTGAGTGTCATCTACATGTTTCCCAGGCAGGAGCCAAATATATGTGACATATTTATTCATAAAACTTAATACCAGAAATTTTTAATTTGAAATTATTTAATTTTAGTTACTTAATCTTCACTAGATTATTTTCTACTGTATTACATGATGTATTCTACATAGAGGAAAAAAGGAGAATATTTCTTGGTTCAAAATTTACACAGAGAGACATTATTTATACTAGCACCATCTTGCCTACTTAACAGTGTGTGTATCATAGTGACAGAGAAAAATAACCCACTACAGTAGCATTGGACTAAAAGGTTTAACATCTTCTGTGACTGAGAGAGAATTATCAACACACAAATGTTTCCAAAGCAAAAATATGACTTATCCACTCCCAACTTTGAAGCCTCATACATATCCATTTTGAGCCTGAAAATGAAAACTGTAATTTCTGTTAGTTGCCCTTTCCTGCTTACTTCAGAATGTGAATTCCATATAGTTGTCTCTGATAGAAATTTGAAAACAGTGAAGAACCCACACAATTCTGGAACACATCACCTGAAGGAGCAGTGACGACTCCTACGGCATATTAAAAACAAGGAGAGGTATTCTCCAGATGGCAATAGCAATATACCATGATGCTACAGCAGGGGGAGGGAGGATGTAAAGAGATAATGTGCTAATGATTTAAACATGGTAATTAAACTGCAGATTTTATGTGCAGATCACGAAGAAGCCAAACGTTTATTTGAGAAAAGACCAAGAGGATCCTGGATACAGTTAGGCATAAGCAAAAGTTGATAGGGATCTAGTTGTATTTTGAATATTATTTTAAAATTCACACTGATTAATAATCGGATGCTTCACTTTAATTTTTTTTCTTTTCAAGCATTCGTGTTTTTGGAGGAATGCAGGTTCATGTGTTTTGTGCTTGCAGTGCTCATAGAGGTCAGAAGAGGGTTACATGTTCTCTGGAGCTAGAATTACAGATGGTTGTAGTCATCAAGTAGGTGGGGACTGGGAACCAAACCTAGGTCCTCTGGAAGAACAATAAGGGTTAACTGCTGAGCCATCTCTCCACCCCAGACACTTTATTTTTAAATCAAATCTCATTTTTAAATAATCATACAGGGAGTACACATTTTCCTCATGTGTGCACGAGTAGGAAACAATTTAGCTTCATAGGGCAAATACCCCGCCATTATAAGGCAAATACAATCAAAGACAAATATGTAAAAGAATAAATATGACTATTCTCCAATAAATATTTATCAAACGAGGTGGGCAGCTGGCCAAATCTGGTCTATAGTTTGTGTACCCTTGTCCTAATGTTTGAGTAATTCTGGTGAATTATCTTCTCCAAGTCATACATTCATTTAGAAAGTCTGTTCTTCCACTGTGCAACCAAGTCCTTTGTAATCTTTTCAGGAGAGAAGTGACT